CTTCAATTTGTAAAAAACGCAGTATCTGCGAAGTGCAATAAAACAAGGTATGCCTGTACTTATAAAACCAGTGCCTCAAAGACCCAATCAGAACTAAGAGCTGATGATAGTAGGCACTGTTCACACAGATGAACACAATGTTTTTTTTTTTACTAGAAAACATCATCTCTGGAACACTGATATTTCTTATTCTAATTTCACACTCCAAGGCATCAAAACTATCATCAAGTATATTTTTAATGGCAACTACAATGGCACTACAAATCCTTTGTGCCCAATCCACCTATAGTTGAGGGAATCAGCCCTCAACTACAGCGGTTTGGGGATCTTTAGGTCAAACTGTAAGAAGCTTGTGCTTTTAGATTTAGCTCCTAGTGTACTGGCCAAAAAGTTCAAACCTCAGTTAAAGCCCTCATTAATGTGACAACTACTGTTGGCCAATACATCAAGAAGTGAACCAAAAACCTCCAGGGCTGAAAGTATGATCTGATAGCCCTACTTTATCAACTCTGCATAAGGTTCCCTGCACCTTGGAAACTGTACCCTGGCTGAACTAAAGAGCCAAGGTCCAGTAGAGGAATTTAACAACTTAAATCCTGTGCACTCACCAATGGGTTAAATTGCCATGACAAGTAACACAAATTCCTCCTCCCCCCGATATTTAAATATGTATGGGGTGGGGGAGCTTCTATTCTACCAGGAATTGCTGAAAAAAAAATAAATAAATCTGCAAGCAAAGATCAGCTGTGACCTGTAGGTGGGCAAGGGGAGGGAAAAAAGTAGATCTACAGATGCTCCATTTCTGATGGGGACCTACAGGGTTCAAGACCTGCAAAATGGGCAGCAACAGTCACTCTGAAGTAAATCCACAAGGGCAAATGACACAAATTACTACAAATCCTGAAACCTAGGTCACTAAAAGTGTTCTTACTTTGTAACAGCAATTCTTTCTTTTACGACCACTATTGCAACTGCAGGGTGCCCATGCTCGTAGTATTAAGTTTACTTCTTCTGTTTCCAATACAGCCTGATATACTGCTTTCTGGAATTCTGTCAGGGAACAGTACACTATCTGCCAAAACATAATCCCAAAATACAATTACATGAAACATGCAGAAGCAACACCAAAAATAAAAAATATAAAACAAAATATTCAAACACTAGGAGGATAAAAAAAAAAAAGGAAAAAAAATAAATTTATGCTGTGTTACTACCCAAACACCTACATTTCTTTCCCTCGAAAAACCCTGGATTCTTATGCTCTGATACAAGTGTGAAAACGTGGTCAGTGAGTAACTATAGTCATTTTTATCTCAATTTTAAGTTTGCCATTATTCCTAAGAGAATTCATAAACTATAACAATACTGTTGTATTTCCACGAAGTTTTCTGTAGCCTTTTTCTGGGGAAGACAGCAGAAAGCCAGGGGACAGGAGGGGGCATGAGGGCAACTAAAGAGCCTAATCATAACAACAAGGATTTCTATCAGCCTAGTCCAAAGGCATAATAAACTTATTGTTTATTCCTTCTTTGGCACTAACTGTTGTGGTTCAGTACTGCAGGCAGCAGGGATAAAAAGAGAGTTAAATTTAAGGTGGCCACTGACACTGTAAATCAAAGAAATGAGAAGGAAAGGATTTCTATAGTGATATGGCCAAAACTCTTATCCCTCCCCTCAGAGACCATGGGTGGCATCTCCATGACATCTTTAGTCTTAACCAGCAGGAGACAGAAATCCCAAGATCATTCCTCAACCTAGGCCACCCACGCAGCAGCAGCACCATGCTGTGCTATCATAATGCAACAGTAACTTGAACATATACTCACATTAACAAGAGAATGAGAAGAATAAAACCTGCTAGACTTCGAAAAGAAAGTGACTGACATTTGTGTTAATCTTTTCTTTACAAGACAATTTAGATGACATTATTATATGGCCTGGATGAAGCACAAATACAAAATTGGTGGGGGGGGGGAACAGCTGCAAAAAAATGTGTGCACTTAATAAATGTATTTCTGCTTGCCTGTTAGGGATATCATCATATTGAACAACACATCCTAAATTAAAACGATTAAGATGAATAAACTCTTTACTTGAAGTTTATAATGGCACCATATAAACAGGATTAAAAGCCTATGGTAACAAGGTTTTTAAAGAAATAAGTGTTCTTTTAAATGGAAGGTAAGAATTAGACTAAATTGTTTTTAAGAAGTCTTAATTTATATGCCATCAGACTAAGTTCAGAAGTCATACATGATCTTTCAAGGGAGCAAGGTTTCCTGCAAAAATTTTTGGATTTGGCGCACAATTACAAATGTAAAAATAAACTGAGTATCTCATATATGTGAATCGCTGCTCAGAGGTCTAACTGGGCATTTCCATGCCTGATTAACTCCATTTGAACATGCAAGCACAAGTAATTATTTGAACAAAGTATGCTACTATCCAAGCATTTTTGCTTGTAACCCTGGACTTAAGAACTCTTTGACAAATCTCACATCTGAACCATAAACAGAACTATAAACTGTTAAACATACTGTACAGAAAAGTCAGAAAGAACAAACTATGGCACATATTCATTATTGTTAAAATGGCTCACTCTGTCTTCCTTTTTTGGTAACTGATCACTAATAAGAGCCTTAGTACGTCTCAGGAACCAGCCAGACATTTTTCCTGCTAGCTTCTGCATGGCCTTACGACCTGTTGCTAGCTCTCTTTTAGTTGCAGTATGCCTCTGGCCGTGCTCCACTGGATCAGAAAATTTCTTCTTGAAATATACTTTGCTACCCAAAAGTCCTGGTACAGCCCTAAAAAACAAAACAAAACAAACAAACAAACAAACACACATACACACACACAAAAATCAGCAGACATTTGCTGAACTCCAAGCAGAACAGATTTCTCCATTGACAAGCTACTGGCTAATAGCAAGAACTCTTATTCGTTGCTTCAGTGTTAGTTATTTTAAGAGACATGCATATGAATATAAATGTTTCTTATTCTATTAGCAAATATTAAGCACCCAGATGAAAATACTATGATCTTCAATTTAGGCACCAAATAAAAGGGACAATCTTCAGGGAATCAATGCCAAGCAAATAGGAGTTACAGGTGCTCAGGATCTCTGAAGAATCAGACAATTATTAATTAGGGGCATGTATACACATGCAGGGAGGCTGCTCTGATGCACTGTAATTATAGCGCGTCGGAGCAGACTCGATTAATCAAATCTGCTGGAGCATGGTAATTGCCACGCTCCAGCAGACTGCAGCATCACATGCATCAGTGTCCCCACTCTGAAAAATGTCAGGGGATACTTTAACTAAAGTTAACTAAACTAGTTAAGGCACACCCACTGCCATTTTTCAGCATGGGGACACTGATACATGTAATGTTCCAGGCGCTTTAATTAGAGTAGCTCTTGGAGCCGCTCTAATTAAAATGCACCCCACATCCTACCCTGAGGACATTTATAAACTCCCAGAGACTATATATAAGGGGCTTAGGCATCAAGGTTTGAAAAAAATCTGACTTGGGCTCTTACAGTTTTATTAAATCAGATCATAGATAGGAGAGAATTAAACCTACAGTAGAAGTCATTAAAGAATGAGAAACACATTAATGCATTTTCTACGTAATATTCACTCATAGATTTTAACATTGCTTACATGCTACATTAAGCTTTGCATTAGCCACTCTCCTTCCAGATCTTGCATTTTCTTCTATATTTAAAATTTATTCTTAGCAAAGTATTCACAGGAAAGACTATTTTGTTTTAATCTGTATCCCATTCTCTCATCTAGCATCTCTTCCCTCCAAAGTTCTTAAGAGCAGAAACTGTTGCTTCCTATGTATCTGCACAAAACTTAGTACTTTTGGAGTAGTGCTGGAATATAAATGAATTATCACCATTAAGCATCTGTAATTTACCGGCTACACCAATATGAGAGCTGGGAGCAGGGCCACCAGTCACTCTATACATTGCTGATGCGTGGAGGATGGAAATAGATGAGTGCAGAGGGGTAGAAAAGAAAAAGGAAAGAGCCAATCACTTGCTTTATAGCTTTCCAAAAGAGCAAGAGAACATGGAAAACTATATGTTTACTAAATAAGTGCAAACAAAGACTGAATCAGGAAAGGATACACCAAGCATCTCAGGATGTACCCTAAATGACCCTCCAATGTACACAAGGAAAAGAGTATTAGGATTTCCACTGGGACATTTTCTGGATGCTGCTGAGCCCCAAACTACGCCCACCATACCATGTTTCAGGTTAACAGATGTAAATGTTCAATCTCAATAAATAAATTAAATGCTTTATTTACCAGTCCATGACACACCAAAGTTCTTTCATGTTGTTTTGAAGAATGGTTCCAGTAAGACCTATGCGGACAATGCATTTTAAGCCTTTCATAGTTTTAGTTATTTGAGCCTTTGGATTCTTGATTCTATGCGCTTCATCTACAATGACAGCAGACCACTCTACACTGTGGATCAACAAGAAATAGTCTTACATGATGCTTCCATCATTCCACTAATATGCAGTACTAAGAACTAGCCACTCTTCCTCATATTTTTAAAAAAAGAGTGAGTGATAACAATGCTACTGACTTGAAAAAGATTTCAAAGAACTAATTTTTACAAATGCTTTGATATCATAATTTAAACCAAATTGTATAATCTGTTTTTCAGTTGATATATTTCACACCGTGATGCATATAATTAGGTTTACTATATTCAAATTGTTCACGCAAAAAGAATGAATAATATAGATTTAGACCCATATGGGCTGCAAAAGGACACGGAGATACAGTGTTAGAAATTTAAATTTTTTTTTTTTTAAACTGAATAGATTTCAAGCTTCTCTCATTGTAGGAATACAGCTTCCTTTTGTAAAGCAACTTTGCAATTATAAAACCAAATCTGTCGTGTGAAAGAGAAAACCTTCCAAAGTCTGAAAGCATTAATCTGGTGCTAAGGACAATTTTGCATGATAAACATTTATAATACTTACATGACTGGTGCTGAACTGTTTTACTGAAAAATTCCCTGAAAACTATAGTAGAGAAACTGGAAAGCAGGAATATCACATCTGACCTCAATTCTTATTAAGTCTTCAAGGTATTAAGGAACACATTACAATACATCTCATTCCTCATACGTTTGAAGAAAAAAACTGTAGAAAATCACTATGGAAATACTGTATGATCATGAAAATGAGTCAAGGCAACCTGTGACATCACAGATGGAAGACTAGTTGCATGCAAGACAGTCTCTGTGTTAATGTGCATCCCACTAACAGTGGGCACTAATTTAGCCATGCAAGAGAGATATAGTCTACAAAGGTTGTATTAAAAACAAGCGTGAGTGAAGCAGTATTAAGTGACCTGCAGGGGTTAACAACACTTCCCTGTCGCAAGAGCTGAGTCCAGATCTAGCCCAGGGCAAAATGAGTTTGACACTATTGTTCTAATAACTACTTTTTCAGAAGCAATTCCTTACAGCAATGCCATCTGGCAAATTCATTAGTTATGGGTATACAATCTCCCCTCCCTTACAACAAACGATGCTTTGAAAAGAAAAGAAAATAAATAAGAGATTGGTTACCTGTTAAGTTCATCCAAACAGAGACGAAGCGTTTCATATGTTGTAAGTACAACTTCACACTTCCCCTGTTTAATACGAGTCAGTTCATTGTCCTTTTGACTGCCATGTAAAACACCAATCCTGAAATAACCCCATGTGTCCAATTCATCCCTCCAGTTATACAGCACAGAAAGTGGCGCCACAATCAGGAAAGTCTAAAGATAAATAGTGTTGTGATATTACTGCAGAACCCATGGCAAATATATTTTATCAAGAACTGTCACAGAGAAATCAGAATACTGAGTTGTATTTTATTGACAAAAATATGATCTTGTTCTTTTACATGAACAAAGCATTTCCTATTTGCATGTAGTTCTAGGAAAAGAACTCTTTTCTGAATTGTAGACAGCAAAACTCGAACATAAGCCTTTTTTTGAGCAGCAATTCTCAACCACAGTTCCACAGCACCCTGAGGTGCCTCGAGATCCATCCTTTCAAGGGTTCTGAACAACATTAGGTACACAAACATGATTCACAGGATAAACCCAAATGTTTCATATAGGAATATGTAGCATTAAAACCATTCTGAGCTGTTACAGTCTGAGTTCTTTGTAACACAGAAATTGCTCTATTTTTCTGTAGTTAAACAACAAGTGAAAATGAAGAGTTGGCATTTTCCAAAAGGTGCCTGGGTCTAAAAAGATTTAGAGCCACTGTTTTCAAAGAACCCATACAGTAAGGTGCTTCCAGCAGAAATATTTTTTCCAATCAATAACAGCAATAACTCAAGTTTTACTATTAAAAAAATTATACATAACATGAAATCTATTTCAACACAGACATGGAGATTATGAAACTCAATTATTTTAGAAAAAAAATTGATAACATAATGGGGAAAAACACCACCATTTTGCACTTCCACAGAAATCATAGCAAGAATTTTTAACGTGTCTTATATATGGGGAAATCTGGGACAAAAGAAATCTAAGCAAATTCACAAAGCTAGCAGATATTTTAACAGAATCAGGTCCTTTGACTCATCTTCATGCACATCATATTAGCATACAGTCATCTTTCTTATGAAATGAGAGAAACATCAAAAAATATACACACTTGCTAAGTAATTATCTCATTAGTATATTGATGATACTTGGGAGAACTAGCTTTGAACACACTGGCTGTGTTCATATGATAGGAGATAATTCTCCCAGGTTAGTCTCTGGTAACATTTTCTACCAGGAAGACACTGAACAGACATTGAAATGCTAAGCCCTTGATGAGCAGAGAGCTTGCAATGCTGACATTATACAGCCAAGGGACCCATGTGCACATCTCTCAGCATGCTCAGTAGGGCTGTGCAAAACAGCACTGTTCCGTTTCGACTTGCGTTTTGAGGTTTTGATGGAACAGCGTTTCGTTTTGAATTTCGTTTTGATTCAAAACTGCTGTTCTGTTTTGTTGAAACACTGATGCTGTTTAGATGGTTCGCCCATAGGCTATAATGGGGAAGTCTGAAAAAGCCTCTCTCATCTGGCAGGCAGATTGGGGACCCACAACCCTGGGAGGGCTATGCCAGTCCTCCTGGGGTTACAGGCCCCCGATCGGCCTGCCAGATGAGGGAGGGAAGACGGGTGCTCCTGCCTCAGACTGGGGAAGGGAACTGAGCCCGACTGCTCAATTCCCCTCCCCAGTGCTGGGATTCATTGGACTGGGGAAGGGAACTGAGCCCAATCACCCAGTTTCCCTCCCCAGTGCTACAATCAGGCTGGGGAAAGGAACTCAGCCCAGCTGAGCTGAGTTGCCTTCCCCAGCCCGATTGTAGGGCCAGAGAGGGGTACTGAGCGATCGGGCTCAGTTGCTTTCCCCAGCCCGATCTCAGTGCGCAGGAGGGGAACTGAGCCTGAGCTCAGTTTCCTTCCCCTGCACTGCCATTGTCTTCCTGGAGCCCAGCAGCAGGAGGCAGGGAGAGCCAGGGCTGCACTTCTGGCTGAGCCACATGGGGCTGCGGAGCCGCTGGGAATGCAGCCCTGGTTCTCCCCTGTCTCCCACCACCTGGCTGCTTTGAAACATTTCGACTAGCCTCATTTTGTTTCAAGGCTGCTTTTAAAGCCCTTTGTTTCATACCGATTTCACTGTTTTGAGCTTGAAACGAGTTGAAACAGTGTCAAAACGAAACAACTGGCAAAATTTCACACAGCCCTAATGCTTATTAAGTTTTCTCAGTCTGCCCACAAACAAAATGGCAGGAGGGCACAGGGCAACCAGAGTTAATCTATCTTCCTGCTGCACGACACTGCTGCCTTTAAAAAAATTCTACATTCTTTTGTGTTTAGTATTAGTACCCATTACAAGAAGCATATCAGTAATCAGTATGGGCTACTTGAATGGGCACAGAACTAGGAGAACTAGGTTCCTGGCTGAGATGCCTTGAAAAACTGATTTGACTTCAGTATCTCAATTTCTTCATCTACTGGCTAATTGCTACTACTCCCATTTCTGAAATACATTTAGGCCTACATTTGAAAAACTATATAAATTTAAGTATTCTCATTAAACCCACTGCACATGACCAAAGAATGGTAAGGACCAACTCACAGATAAAGTACTGAAACTCCAAAAAACATGAGTACATTTTGCAAAAAAATTATACTTCAAGCAAGACCACATCACTTTTTATAGTGTCCAAAAGAAAAATGGACAGTGTGGCAGTGCACTTGCAGTGCCTGCCACTTTAAGGGCCGAGTCAAACAGTCAGCAGATGCTCGATTGCGGCACCCATTTTAAAACACCGGCTGCCTGTATAAACAGTTTGCTGCTAGCAGCCCAGATAGAAACATTGCCTGGCTGAAAGGCTGTATGAAACATCTTGGTGGTAAGGGCAGGAGCTTATGGGGATGGTTTGGAGGTTCCTGGTTCTGGGCATAACCTAAAACTGCACCCTGCCAGGGATGGGTGGCCTGATGGTGTGGAGGTCCCCAGGAAATGCTAGGGAAGTTACCACCCTGGTGAAAGGCGGGTCAGGGTGCCTTAACCCCTAGCCTCCACAACACTAGGTACACTAGGCCCCAGTGCGTGGGGCCGGGGGCCCAGTGTGTGTCTGTGTATGTTTATGTAAAATTGCCCTAGGATGGGCCAGGACAAGCTTGGCCCAAGTTGGGAACTTGGCTGGCCACTACCCAGGTGAAGGTTACAGGAGTGGCCCAAGAGACTATGTGTCTGCCACCCAAGGCGTGATCCGGATAAAGCCTATGGCCTACGGAAGCCGCTCCAAGAGGAAGCAAGACGGAACAAGTTGTCAATGCGAGAAAGAGACCCTGTGAGAGAGGGGGTGGAGTGTGAGAGGCCCTAGTAAGAGGAGGGTGGTGTGAATGTGTGTGAAAGAGGCCTGATAGAGAGGGCTAAGCTTGGCCTGGCTCTAGGCCAGGAGCATAATGACACCATGGATGCCATCTGCGAGGCATAGGCTGCAGTGTAGGGGAGGTTTGAAGCCACAGATGGCACCCCCTGGCATCGGAGCATGTAATGGGTAGTCTCCCGCATATACCACCAGTTTGAGAACAGCAAAGTTGTGGCAGGTGAGATGGGGCGGACTGCCCCATAGAGACAGGTGGGTGGTTCGCCATGAGACCTGGCCCTGAGCTCGCCCACTGTCACAAACAGCTACTTACATCTTGCTTCCCCTCGATACATTTGCCATCATTTTCCTATCATTTTTAAAGGACTGGACCTCAGCAGCAAGTTTCTTCAACTCCTCCTTGTCTATACTTGATCTTTTCCAAAAGGCCAGGAAGCAATATATGCTTTCAGAAACTGGATATAAATATTGTATGTTACCTAAAAATCATGTTTCTGGAAACAAAGATCTGGTATATCAAAAAAGGTGAAATAAAATAATCCTAAAAAGCCAATTTTTTTTTTAAACAACTCCTCATCTAGATTGCTCACAGGGTATAAGACAGTTATGCATATGTAAAAATCTCTGTATAGATGAATTATACTCTACTAACTCATTAAACCATGAAACTGAAAGTATCCAACTTTTCTCCCTCTCCCCCACTTCTAATACTCCATACACAGTATATAATTACTTTAAAATTATGTAAGCCTGTATTGCAAACTTGCCAGTAAGGGACCCATAAAGTTCATCATATTAGGTTGCACTTAATGTACTCCAGGAGAGTGGGGACGGGGGACAGGGGCTGCAGCACTCGGGTCCTGC